CCCCAAAACCCCAAAACCCCAAAACCCCAAAACCCCAAAACCCCTTAATAATCTCTTACGATTGAGGTACAATGAAATATCTATTTATTGCAATGGATCTTCCCAATTAAATTCAAATGAGAAGGGAGTAACTCGATGTGGGCTTTATCAGATGGAAATAACTCACCATCTACATTATAAGGTCAGTCGTTTCTTGGGGCAATTCTCACTTCAGACACTTCAGTTCCGCTAAATCTCTTACAATCCATAATGTTTCCAGCAGAATGTTTGCATAAGAACTGTAAGAGTTTAATCTTCCCCAGTTTAGCTAGACTTCCCATATACATTCTTTTGTCATCAAACCTAGCACCTGGCATGAAAACTTCTTTCTTTTTCTTTGAATTTCTAGCTTCATGAGTTACAATTCCAAAGAATCAGAAGTCGTCCAGGTCGAAAGTTGACCATGCACTCTCTGAAATGCATCTTATTTTGGATCTTTGCTCCTCTAAATGAGAATGATTCTCACTTTCTACAATTCTGTCTTCTTTATGATCCTCTTCTTTATGACCTTCTTCTTTATGGTCTTCATCTCTATTCTCTGAATCTCCAAGAGGGACCATTGGTTTGTACTCAACTTTGCATTTATAATGCTTCAGTCTACATGAAGACAAAAATGTCAGAGTTCCGCCAATAGCATATTTAGCTGATTTTCAGAGACCTCTCAGCTTCTCAGCTTTTGTTGCAATCTCACCTGTGATCCCCCACAAGAGAGAGGTAGCATAGATTGGCTCATCTTGTTTCTCAAAATTTATCCTCATGATATCTGAGGGAATGGTGTGTCCTCTAACAATATTAATTCACGCATCTCTGACCTTTCTTCCACCAAGATCTCAAACTATCGCGTTCTGAGTTCCACAAGGCAGGATCCCTATGGGAACTTTGAATAGGTCGTCTCTCTTCAGACTCCTCCCGATCGCGTTGATCAGCTGAAAGAAAAGTCCATCTCCTCCAACACAGATAATATCTGTGTATGGGAAAAGTTTGTCGTTAAATTGCTCGACCCAGGTATCCACATACGTAGGTGAGTCAGTCTCCAAAATTTCATAGCTGATATCTGCACTGAGAAGCATAGGAACCAGAGTCTTCTTGACATGGTGCTTTCCTTGTCTTTTTCCTGAGACCGGGTTGACCAAAATAGCAACCGTCCTCTCTTTTGGAGAATTAATACTCATCAGTATCTCTTCGGTCTTGTGAAATTCCTGAGCATCTTCAAAGTACAGAGTGATAGTCTTAAAGTCTGAATATGTTATGGTTAGCTTCATCTAAAGAGTCAGGGGGTAAGACTAACCTCTTTCTCACTGAATGTCTGCTTCTCTTCTTCAAGGTCTCTTTCATCTACTGAATTCGACTTCATAGGTTTAGCACTCTGTGCTGAATCATTTTTCGTCACCTATAATTCTGTTATTTTGTGCTTTTAATTTACACAAATATCCTAATAATATTGGTACAGTAATATCCAAAGCTAGGATACAGCTGGGATTAGAATAAGATTGTGCTATCACAGACCTCAATTGGAATTGGAATCATTCCTGGTCGGTATTTATACTGATGGTAAGGAAGGAATTCCTTGATAATGCTGAGAATAACAAGAACTACACCACATCCACTCTGGAGGTGTGTTAATGCCTTACAGAAATAATCGAGTCGTAGTCAATTACGATGTCACATTTGAACTTAATAGGCTCTGGGCGAGCAGTTCTGATATTCTTCTGACTCTTAGCCTTCTCGCTATGGTTATCAATCTCGTCTTGGTAAACCTTATCACTGATGCAGAATAATTGTTTAAAGCTAGGCTGATCTCTTTGTCCAAAAGGACTTTCAGGAGGAGAAAGGAACAAGCTATACGATTTTGTATCCTTATTTCCACTCTTTCTGACATTTGCTAGCTTGAATGAAGGTAATTGCTCCGGATGACATAACACTGACGCAAAATTTCCCATACTTAATTACTATATAAAATATTAAAGACAGTAGATCAGCTTGGGGTTTTGGGGTTTTGGGGTTTTGGGGTTTTGGGG